TGGCAGCACGCAGACAGGGTGCATGTGCTTCTCTTGTGCCTCATTTACCTCTCACTATCCAAGAGCCTTGCTAGAGCTACTTGTTCCCCAGCACTGCCAGGCAAAGCTGCGATCCCAGGAGCACACCTCGGGAAGCCCATGGAAAATGCAGTGCTTCACGCAGGTTTTAGTGTGTGGAGATACTGGGTGTCACAGCAATATAACATCCAATGGTATTGGGAAAACACGGCTGGGCACAGTGCTGTAATGCTCATATATAATGCTCCCATCCTTTTCTCCAAAGCTGGGTGGTGAGGATGCAGCCAAACCAGGGAACGAACTAGATTTTGGAAAACTGGTTCTCCCCCACGTCTTTATGGAGAGCAGAAAAAGGACCAGGACACTTATCTCCTGGGGCTGGTCCCACCAGGTGTAGGGTGCTCCGGTGAGGTGTAGGACTGGCTGCAACATCCCCACCCTTCCTCCAGACCTGAGTGGGTTATTTAAGACTCATTTTAGGGTTTTTTTTAATATGATATCTCAGTGAGATACACAGTGTCTCTGGTCCCACGGAGGAGGACAAGCATTGCCTGAGAGCAATTTGGCCAGCTGAGAGGCTGGGCGAAGGAGGCAGCTGCCCAGTAGATGGCAATACTGCCATTCACTCAGCAGCAGCCTTGAAGGTATACAAGAAGCTGGTGGAAATGTGTGGATTAAGCAGCATTGAAAACTCCTAATGGTCAGAGCTGTGAAGGAGAAAACTTAGTTCTATTAACTGCTTATCTGAAGTCTCACTTTAGCCAGAGCTCTGGCAAAACAAAGAATTTTTGCTGATTTATGCAGGGAAAACACTGAAGCCAGAATACTTACATTTATTCACTACATTTGGCACAACCCATTTCCCCAGATGCTGAGGACTCAGAGCTCCTCCAGAGATGATGACCACAGAGGGGCCCTCACATGGTGCGGAAACCAAACTGCATTTATCTTGGTGTGTAATTTGGGTTGATTTGGTGGAGAGGACACTTCTTTACAGTGTGATGACTTCTGTGATGTTGAACATCATTACCCCAAAGAATAAGGAATAACAGCCGAACTTTTTTTTCCCCATCCCGTAGCATTGACAGACTAAAACTCAAATGGGCCACGGGAACGTGTCAACGATTGCCAATTCTGCAGTGCTTTTTTATAGGAAAGTCAAGTCGGTCAACAGGTCTGAGTTAAAACCTTAGCACCTGCAAACTTGCTCATTTCCATGGAAAATGCACGTGCACGGGCGGAGCAGGTGCCTGTTACATTGACAGAGGTCTTGAAGCCAGCGGGGATGCAGCGGCACCACCGAGGATGCTTTTTATCGCCTTTGCAGAAGGCCTGGGGCAACCTTATCCTCTGCAGTGTCACGCTGCTCAGCCACGCGGTACAAACCTGCGTTTTTCTTCTACCAGCCGGACAAGCAATGAGAAAAGGTATTTTTTCCCAATGCCCCTGCCTCCTAAGCGGACACAAGCCCTTTGCATGCAGGATCTGGCCCTAGAGCAATGCCCCCAGTGCTGCAGAGCCCACACCCCTGCCCTCACCTTGCCCTGGAGCTCCTGGGTTGTTTTTTTTCCCCTGCCGGAGATAAAGTCCATCCTGCCCGTCGTTTTATAGCTGTTCCTGCCCAGAACAGTCCGCAGGTGTCTCATTCCCGTGTGGCGCCAGGTCTGGAGGAGCCGAGCCTCGTGTCACAGCCCGTCCCCATCCCCGCCGTCGGTCGTCAGATGACTCATTCCTTTTCCGGAGGCTGCTCCGCCACCCGGGGAGAAATGCTTTCTAGTCTGGTGGCTACACGCACGGTTCAACTCTTGTAGGCACCTAAAAATGAAACGAAAGCGGGCGATGAGTAATTCTGTGCTTCTGTGTGCTACAAGCTAGGCGTACAGGGTGGCTGTATGGAGGGAAAAAAGAAAATAAATGAAAATGAAGAGGGCGATGAAGACCTAAGCAAGGTGGGGAGCTCACGGACGGATTTAACTGGGGTCAATGAATCCCCGATTCCCAGGGATGGGAAGGAGCACCACCGCCCGCTGTCAAACGGGGCGTGAGTCCCAGCTCTGTGTCTCCGGGTTGGGGCACATCCATCCTGGTGCGTGCTGAAAGTCAGCTGGCCTCAACCCCTCCATGGCCAGGGAGCAAATCGAGGGTTGCACCTTGTTGCACCCCTTTGAAGATGCAGCCCTATAAAAGCAGCGTGGCCATGGCTTTAATGTCAACGCCTTGCAGAGGGACGATCCCGAACAAGCCGGGAAAGCTCCTCCAGGGCTTCGCCTGCCTGGCTCTTCAAAGCAAACATGAACTCCTCTTGGCACAAAGAGGCTGTTATAAACTCTGCCGCTTCCCCGTGGAGACGCCGGGACAGCGGATGCTTGTGCCGGAGGCTGGTTGATGGGATGAGGCACCTCGGGGCTGTTTCGGCACCGTCCCTTGGGGGGTGGTGGGTCCCCTGGCTGCGATGCCCTTTGCCGGGGCATGGCGCAAAGTCATCACCGTGAGCAGAAAACCCACCAGTGTGGCAGCTGGAGCTGTACAATGGGGGCTCTGCTCCTCCCAGTCAGAGAATAATCAACATAAGAGGGAATTATAGGCATAAGCCCCATGAAATAAAATAAAATAAAATAAAATAAGATACTTTTAAAAAATGTTTATTTCACCTTTATCTCACCCTTTTTTAATTTTTATTTTTGTGTATGTTTTATAATGTCCATGATATATTAGCACAGTAGTACATTTATGTAATTTAAATTTTTAAAAGGGCCTCTTTTCAGTATTGCTGCTTTTATGGCCCAGCAAATAATTTGTAACAAATAGTTTATTCAATTAATTGAGCTTCTCAGCTCTGAGGGTGGACGGCAACCTTCAGAAACGGATTCCCGCTGGAAAACTAGACAATGGCATTCTTGGGCCAATTTCCCTTGCTTTCAGGTCAATGTCAGCGGTTATGATTTATGCCCATACTGCTGGGCACAAGTCCTTGGGATAGGTGTGCATTTCTCCATCCAGGTTTCTGGGATTTATTTGGCTTTTCCTTCGCGCGATGGGCTGGTTCACATCCTCACCCTCTTCTTATTTCCCTGCTGTTGCCAGGACCAATCGTATTTTCTCTGCTTTTCCCCTGGGGCACAGGATCGTGGTGATGCTTCTTTTGGCTGCACCCTTCCAGGTCCCAGGGGTGCCGTGGGGCGATGAGAAAGTTTGTGGCCTGCAAGTGAAAGGGATTTCTAGGGTTTTCCAAGGGTTTCCCAAGATTTCTCCTATATGCTCCTTGGCGATGGGGATGCTGCTGCCACCGCTGTCTCTTCCATCGTCCCGTGGAGAGGTGCAGCTACCATCCACAAGCCAAGCAGGCTTGGGAAACAACACAGCCGGACCCCCATGCACTGAATTTTACCTTTTTTAGAGAAAAAAAAAGGCACACTGTCACAACAGAGTGACACAGGTGAAGCAGGAAGCAACTTGAACAGGACAATTGTCACGTGCCACCACAAGATGATGTACTGGGGACATTGCAATAGCATGGCTGAGAAGTTGGAGATACCCTGGGAGCCTCAGGAGATGCTCTCCAGGACACGGGTCTTGCTCTGCCAAGCAAGAGGTTGCATCACATTCTTACCCTCAAATAAATTAAGCAAATCACCAAAAAGGTCCCTTCTAGTCCCAGCCCTGGGAGAAACTGCTCTTGCCGGCCTAGACTCTCTCCTGGCCAAAATGTGCTATTTTAGCTCAAAATCGGAAAGCAGGGGCTGGCACTGGGTGCCGCTCTGTGAGGAGACCCGTCCCTGGACGAAGCCAGAGGGACTTTGGGACACCCCTCGTGCATTTCCGACTGCCCCAAGAGCTTCCCCCACATGACCTCCCAGGCCTTTGGTAGCGTCCCCAACCGCGTTTCAGTTTTGAGGTGACATCGAGGCTGCGATGGACCTGGGGACACCTTGGAGGCTACCTGGGAAGTCCCCCCCCCTTCGTGTACCCAACTGCCACGCATGGAGGAGGGCTCCGCAGGGATGGATGAGCTGCCTCAGCTCCATGCCTCCTCTAGGGAAGATGTCCCCTTTGCTCCGGGGACTGACTCTACGGCTGGTTTCCCACCACGGGACTGGCCCCACACCAGCGCTCAGCCCCCCAGCCTCTCCCCGTGCCTTTCCCCCACGTGAGGGCATGGGGATGCTCTTCCCTGGGCTGCTTTTGGGGGGGGAGGGAGCAGGGGGGAGAAAAGCAACAGGGGTCCCCAAGCTCAGGAGAAGCCTCTTGGAAGACGCCAGGCTGGGACAAGGGCTGCTCCTGCCCTAGTAGGATGCTCCCATCCAGACACTTGGGGTGGGAACCCCAGGGCACCCATTAGCTTCAAAAAGGGGCCAAAAAAAGCCAAAAACAACAAAAAAAAGGGACAACTAGGACATACAATGAAGCATACACACCCATCATCCAAATTTTTGAGCCACAGTAAAGGACAAACAGGGCAAAGACGCTGACGTATTCAAACAAAATTCTTTTATTGAAAGTGTAATGGAAATTTCTTCATATTGCTTTGATGAAATGAGAGACAGCAGCTGTAGACAAATACGCTTTTTTATAAACAAATGCAAATGAATAAGGTAAAAATAAAGCATTTTTTTTTTAACTTGTACCTTTAAGCAACGTAATCACAATATATACACAAAGAAAGCTAAAATAAAGCTATGTTGAAACCAAAGCGTTTCAATCAATACATTAGATAATTACAGATTGTGTCAATAAATACCCAGTTTTTAAACTGTTTAACAGGCAACTTTTTACACAGATAAGGAGAAGAAAAAAAAAAAAAAAAAAAAAAAAAAAAAAAAAAAAAAAAAAAAAAAAAAAAAAAAAAAAATAAATTATAGAAAAAAATCCACGAAGGCAGGAGTCTATCCCCGTCATTCATTTAAAAAAAAGTGTGTGTATATATATAAAATATATGTATATATTTTATATATATAAATATATATATGCAGAGAAACCGAGGAATGTTATAAAATATATTAGTGCCAATAAATACAGAATGGTACCAGACTTTCAACTGTCAGTATTTTTGATGCAGTCTGAAGGATAGAAACTACCACCTAGGAGATAAGTGAAGGGGATTTTTCAGTCTAAAGAAACGACGACGACAAAAAAATAATAATAATATAACTCTCTCTCTCTCTCCAGGAAATCCTCCATCTGCCAGTAGTATTCCTACAGTCGCCCTCCTGCCTGGCGGGGAGGTCCCCGGGGGCGATGCCTCGCAGGAGGATGCGGCGGCGAGCACCCGCTCGCAGCCGTGACAGGTCGCGAGCACCCGCTCGCAGCCGTGACAGGTCAGCTCCGCTTCCAAGTTGACCGGGCTCAATACCAGAGAAGATGTATAATTAAATAGTAGTAAGAACGATTAAAAAAAACCCCAAACAACCCAGCCTTCGCCATATTCGTGTGCCAGAAGTTTCCTAAATTGCCGGCAGGTTTGCACGAGGCGCCTGTCAAATAGCAGGTACCCAAGGAGCACCATCCCCATCACGGGGATATAAACGGTTCAGCCAATGGAAAAATCCTCAAATCCCTATTTTGGGGCTTTTTCCCTCCATCTGGGTGGCTCCGCAGCCCTCGGGAGCTCCCACCAGCAGCCCGCTCCTGGGGCCAGAGCTGCCGCCTCCCCCTGGTGCCGGCAATGCCAGGAATCTCTCCCATGACCGAATCTCACATTTTCCAAGGGGGGAATTAAAGCCGGGAGGTTTTAAAGCCTTTTTTTTTTTTTTTTTCCCTCATACCGCTGGCATAGGCACTTAGTGTATCACTGACATACAGATTTTATGTCCAGTTACATCTCGTGGCCAAATAGTGTCATGTTCTCAGACTGATTTAAATAGCAAAGGGCCAAGAGGGCCCCCAATATCCTTTCTAAACACGATGACTTCTCTCATTTTTAAAAAAAAACCAAAAGCCTTCAAGTTTTTCAGCTTGGTTTTCAGGTGTTATTTTTTCTTGCCTCTAAAACCATACTCAAAGGATAAATAACCCAATAACCTTCATATCCATCTATTTTACTTGATTTACTCGATTTAGCTATATATAAAAAAAATAGTATAAACAGTCTGACCCACTAGATTTTGGAGCTGCGATACCCTCGACGTCGGGAAGTCCTAAGGAGCACTTGCTGAGGAGCGTGAGCACAGTGTTGCTGTTGTTGGCTTTGCTCTCCCAAAGCCCCCCCGGGCCACAAAGGTCCTTCTCGTTACACCCCCCCTTGCTGCTAATGGTTCCTCTGCATATTCAGGCACCATAATTGATCGGGAAAGATCTCATGGCCAAATCCTTAGGAAATTAAATAAATTACAAAATAATTTATGAAAAGGGTTTGTGTTTGTTTTTTTTTTTTGTTTAAATAGAGCTAGTTCACGTTATTTCTTGGACAGTTGAAGGTTTTGCTTGTTTTCCTCTCCATAGCGATATTACGGAGATCAGACACCATCATGACGTCTACTAGACGGCTGATAGTAACCAAAGGACGCTGCAGCAACGTTTCCTCCAACCCTCCCCTCCCACCCGCTTGCATTCAGCTGTTTTAGGAATACGAAGTGAAGACCGAACAGCCAACACCTTTTAGACTCAGAAAAAAAACCCAGGGTCGTCCTTAGGATGGGTGCTGCTGAAGACCTTATTGCCCTTCCAGGTCACTGATAAACCACAGTGCTATTCATGTACTACAGGTAGAAAATAAATAAATACAGATATATTATGCAAAAAAATATGATTGTACACATAATACATCTGAGGTATTACCAATTTAAATAAGGTTTCATGCTAGTTCAAGCTTCGGTGGCTAGTTAAAATTCTGGAATTTGCAATAAATAGATGAAGAATGATTATGTATATAGTGTATGGATCTCTTCTGTAAACCTTGTCCGATTTAAACGTAAGAGCGTGTTGGGCTAACTCTTACGCAAACCACAAATTTTCACAATAAATACAGCTTCAAAAAGTTGTCTTAAAAAGTTCCTGCAACACTGAAACGTTTCTAGAAGGGGCTGTGTGTACGACTGGCAACATTAGCAAGGAGTATTTCTCAACAGGTCTTTTCATACAAAACACAAGGAAATTCATACGTGAAAGTCTTTGTCCCTCCCTCCCTCCCCACCCCACCATGAAAGTTTAGAAATTTTTGCACAAACAGCGAGAGAACTGATTGTAGCTGCAGTATGTCAAAATGTCCACGTTCTATAAAGACCAAAAATAGTTTGTTTGCTTAGAAAGTCTTTTTTGTGTTGTTTTTTCCTCCTTATTTTTGCGTAGCGCATCATCCTTCTGGTGAAAGTTTGCCCATCTGACCGTACTTCGGTTTTCCTTTTGGTGCTGGTCCTTCCCACCCCAGCCACGCGGGCGTTTCACACTTTCACCGTCTCCATCAGCGATGACTTGATGGCGTCCTCCAAAAGTTGATTGTCTGTGAAAGGGGCCGGGGTTTCGGGGACGGATTCGGACAAACCGATGAGGGACTCCAAGAAACAGGAGCCCTGATCTCCGGCTTGCGGGAAGCCAGGGAAATTAGGCAACTGAAACTGTAATGCTGAGAAGTTATCGAGGTTCTCGTACTCCTTTAAGGAGTTGTAAAGGGGTCCCAAGTTATAGTCCGAGAAGGACTGGAAGAAATCCAAGGAGTCAGAAGAAAGGCTGAGGTCGGCGTAGCTCTTGGAGCAGGGCTCGGCCGGGGATGAGGCGCAGCAGGACAGCCCATCGCACCGCGCGTGGGCAGCATCCTCCAGCAAACCTCCGCCGTCCTGGTTGGCGTTCTCATCCAGGCACTCAGAGAGGTGGGACAAGTGGCCGGGGACAGGCTTGGCCTCGCCACTGTGGTCCTCGATGAAGAAGTCAGCGGGGTGGAAGCAGCTCAGGTCATCCTGGCCGCGGCCACCCTCTTCCTCAGCATCTGAGTCGTTGAAGTGGAGGATGCGTGCCAAACCGTCGTCGTCCACATCTGACTGGGACTTGTCGGAGGGGAGGCTCTCGTAGGGCTCCTCCAGGTCCTCGCTGAGGTGGGAGGAGATGGACGAGTCCGTCATGTCGCTGCTGCAGCTGTTCTCCCCCAGGGCCTCCAGGTCGGGGCTGAACTGGAAGGCGGGTGCCAGCGGCACGGCACGCTCCTCCAAGGAGCCCTTCCCTGCTGCACACCCCAGGGGCGGGAGCAGCTCCCGAAAAGGGGGCTCAGCCTCCACCACCTTCTCGCTGCTCTGCTGCTGCTTCTCCAGCTCCAGCTTCATGATGGTGTGGATGAAGTGGGTCTGCACGCGGGCCTGGTTGAACTCGATCCTGCCCTCGGTGTTGCCGCAGCCGTCCTTGGTGCAGCCGCAGGGGAAGGAGGTGTGATCCATCTGGTGTGGGGAGAAGCAGAGGTGGAGGGTTAGGACCGAACCCAGCGGTGCAAAATCGAAACCACCCGTGACTCACCTGCCCTGAGAAACCAAGTAACAGCTGAGGGGTGTAAAAGCAGACTAAAAAAAAAAAAAATAATAATAATAAAAGACACCCTGCTCTTTTGAAGGGTTGTCATAAAAAGTTGAATTTCAGTACAACTGAAGAAAGTTAAAAGGTTCCAAAAAAAGCAAAATAAAACGCTCCAAAAGGAGACATAAGGGGGCAAACCTGAGTTTTTATATATTGCATCATGATATTTAATACCTGATCCATATCATGAGCTTCTGCCCCTTGCTGAGACAAGGACAAATTGCTCAACAGGTATCTGCGGCACCTTTATGTCCCTGTTAGCAGCAGTACTAGAGGGGAGCTGTGACACACACATGGAGCACTCGTCCCGCATGCACCCATCTGCCTGTGCACACCCACCCTACACCACCCCCAGCCTGCAACCACGGCATCGAGGGAGCGAGCGGCACCCAGAATAGGGAATTTGGCTCCCCAAACACAGCTGGGCAGGCACCCATAAGAAGTAAAATGAAAAATATAAGCTAATTGAACATACAGGGATTATCCCACTCTGCAGGTGGTCTGCACAGGTAGCTATGGGCTGACGCTCAGCTGACACTCCCATGTTCGCCTGAGCGCGCTGGGAGTTGTGATACGCACCAAGAGAGAATAAAATGAAAAATAAAACCAGGGGGAGGAGGAGAAATCGCAGCCTCGCGTGAGGAGCAAGAAGCTTTCGTTTGCAAAGACATTCGCACGTGTCCCATCTCCAACAGGAGACCAAGCAGGTACAGGTCTCGTGGGGACAGACAGGGTGGGTGCATTCATGCTGCAGGCTGGGGCACATCCCCACGGCTGCAGCGGCAGTGCGGGGACGGCTGCACGTGTCTGTCTTGCAGCCTGGGGAGCGTCTCCCAAGAGCTTTTCTCGCCTGCTTCAGTCCGAGCGCAGGTGGGAACAGATGCATTTTACAAGCTGCCCTAACTCTGCCCTGCTTGCTCAACCCCCCCCCTGCTTTAAAGTACACACCAGTTGGAGCCACGGCTTTTCCCCCGTGCCCAGAGGCGAGGGCAGTACCTGACATTTAATGCCTGCCAAGCTGCAGCTGCAGGTCTCCGGGTCGCAGACCTCCCGGCAGTCGCAGCCGCAGTCCTCCCGGGACAGGCGGATGTTGTGCAGCTCCCGCTTCTCCTCCTTGTCGATCTTTTTCACCCCCATGGCTTTCAGCAGCGCGCGTCTCTTCTTGGCGGGGTAGGGCTGGAGGAAGAAGCCGTCCTCCAGGTCCACGTTGCTGACGTCGATGTCGTCGTCGGAGATGTCTTCGATGGTGAGCTGGTTGGCCTCCTCCGACTCCTTCGTGCCGTTCATGGTTAGCTGAGGGCAAAAAAACCAAGCAAAGCGTTAGGGATCTGTCGGGGACACCAAGCCATCAGCACTCCCAGGTCAGGAGAAACGAGAAAGGACAGATCTGTCCCCCATGGTGACTGACCCCAGGACCAAAATCTGTGTCAGAGCCCCTAAAGACCTGACAGACACCTGACACATGGAGTTCAGCATCTCTTCCACCTCCTTTCAAGGGTGGAGAACTGAGCTGAAAACCCCACACCGGAGCCTGTGTTTTTTGGAGACCTAAACAGCGTTAAGGACCGATGCCCCCAAGGTCTCAGAGAGGCTCCTACTAAAAAATGGCCATTAACTAATGACATCCACCTGCTCCTCACCAACCCAGCCCCACATTCCTACTCACTTTCCATTTCAACGCTTCCAACTTCTCCTCTTTTAATTTCTCTTCGAGTTTCTCCCGACGAACATTTTTCTGCTCCTTTGAAAACTCTGCTAGCGTGAACTGCCGGGAGGAGCTGTGTTTGCTCACCATCCCCAGGGTACAGCCCCCGCGACTAGGCACGCTCGTGAACCCCTGGCAGCGTGGGAAGTAAAACACAGTGACCCGGTCAAACTCCACATTGTTCTTCTTTAGTCGCTTGGATTTCTTCAGGATAGACGTGGCTAAAAATGGGGGAAGAAGAAAGAAAAGCACAAAGTCAGTACTGCCATCCTGCAGACAGGATAGAAATATTACAAACAGGCAGGACTTGCAATTACTCTCTCAACAGGGACATGATGGGACAAGGTTACAACATCGCTTGATGGCTTCTGGCATTTTATGATCTAACACTTCAAAGGTGGGATGAGGATGGAGAGGAAACTAAGCCAAGTCAAGTCCCGACGCACTCGAGTCACCGAGCAGATTCACCCTAAGAAACGGCTGCTGCTTCTCCTTCCCGCTTGACTTCCTCCAGGAAACATACATTTGCTTATTCTTCACGTGCAGCAGAGCATAACGAACAAGCAGCAAACCATCCTACATGCCTGTCTTGCTCTAAACCCCAGCACCCTGCCCCACGTTCAGGAGCTCGTGGTTCGCTCCCAGGATGCCGGAGCACCAACACTCCAGTGCTGCGTGGCTCCAGCTTTTGTGGCAGGGCAGAAAATAGCCAAAACGGCTGTTTTTCTGG